TTGAGTTAATTAACAGGTATCCTCCACCTTGAGTTAATTCTCAATAATATTTACTTGAGTTACTGCCCTGGTACTTTCAACCATGAGTTTATTCAAACATAGTTCTGAGGTACCCTTTGAGTTAGCAATAGACCTGTAACATGTAAACCCCCAGTATAATAAAGCTAACAATACACCTGTAACATGTAAATCTCCAGTATAATAAAGCTAACAATACACCTGTAGCATGTAAATCTCCAGTATAATAAAGCTAACAATAGACCTGTAACATGTAAATCTCCAGTACAATAAAGCTAACAATACACCTGTAACATGTAAATCTCCAGTACAATAAAGCTAACAATACACCTGTAACATGTAAATCTCCATTATAATAAAGCTAACAATACACCTGTTACATGTTTTGACCCCATCCTCAGCCACCTTAACAAACAGCCGCAACACTTGTACAATTTTTAATCCCCATCATCTAGAGATGTTTCCAACACTTTTTGTTAAATTATGAAGAAATTGTTGATGGATGGATAGATGATGGATGCAACAATAAGCATTAAATTAGTTCACCTTGGTTCCCTGGATCAAGTGAGCTTACCAGTACAAACTCTTATTTTGGTGTCCAGTCCAGGTTAAGACATTTCAGTGAGATGACACTTTACAGTAGCCACATCATCTTGAGCTAACCCATTGAAAGACCTCAAAACTTTAATGACCAAACTATCTTACATTTTCCTGAGTTTATTTTGTCTATAGCTTACAAGGCATCAACAAGAGAGAAGACATTGTATGATCCTTTTTCTTTAAATCTTCAATTATCTATAAATTTTACATGTGTATAACAGGGTGATTTTAGTTTGTACTTGTATTATACACAAAATCCAAGATTGGGCTCCTTTTCATTTTTCACTAATAAGATATCATTAAACCTAAAAATACATCAGTTGAAGAGACTGTACTTCTGTTAAGATAATCGTGATAGAATTTTCCAGAAATTTCAACAATACTTGTTTGTACAATATTTTAGATACACATTGAAAATGACGTTTATGATGATTGATGGTGTAGTAGACTGAAGTCACACCTGTTACTAACGAGGCTGCTGAAGATCTCACCTGGAGATTACGCCAGGTACCTATCATCTAAATTAAACACTTCCTTATCACCAAATCAACATTATACATTTCAACAACAACAAAATATACATTAGCTGGAGTATGTTCATTAGAATTTGAAAATGTCCATTAACGCATCTCATTTTACAATCACAACCCCAAATTAACATATATTTTAAATTGTCTTTCCCCCCCCCCCCCCCCCCCAAATAAAATAACACCTGAATATGTTTAAAATAATTGGTATGAAGTAAAGATATAGCACTCCATGGTAGGTGCTATAAGAACATATGAAATTTCAGAAAAATCCATCCAGTACTGTACTTGAGATATAGCAAGAACAAACTTCAAACAGAGTCTCACCCCTATGCCCCTAGAGGGGGGTGGGGTGGGGTGGGGTGGGGTG